GAGTGTAAAAACTTTGAAACATGCTTGGAAAGTATTATCCATGTGATATGGAATATATCACCACAGAAAGATCAAAGAAAATCACTGCAGATATGCGACAATAATTTTTATCATTGTTTATTGCTTGTCAAGAAAATGATATATCATAACTTATATTACGAATTTTTAAATTTATTATTTCAGGCTGTAAAAACAGGTTTAAAATATTTGGAAATTTTCAATACATTTACTTTAACAATAATTGGACAAATTTGTGAATGACAATAATCAATAATGCATGGCAATTAATCTTTACCTGACAGCCACCTTCTCCTAAAAATTTGTCGTGTTATTTATTTATTTTTAAATGCAAAGTCGTCCCTGGACTAGTGCTACGGTCAATGGGCCAATTTCGAACCCTACGTGGTAAGAGTTTGTCCCGAGACGCAGTTAGATTATTCTTACTAGCACCTATATAAGATAAATCATACCGATTAATCAACATTACTACAATATGAGGACCTTTAATTAGGATAAAACATTTTCTAGCAATTAGCCTTTAAAGTTTCGTCAAAGATCAACATGTTCAAAAATTTATTTTTACAATAGCCCCAAAACTATATGAGGTATGAAGTTAAACCTTTTACAGTTTATCAATTTTTCATTGACGAACAGATAGAAAGTATCACTTGATAAAAAAAAATACTTGAAAAAAATAGTAATTGAGAAAAATTCTTCTTAAAAATGAATATGTTTTCAAAAAATACACCTAATTAATTTCGTGCTCTTAGTGAACACCATTATTGCAGAAACAAAATATGTTTATCAATGAAGGGCAAGTTGGACTAAGATAGTCTCTGGAAAGTTGTTTTCCCTGTTTATTTTGTCTAAATGTTAATTAAGACTTGAAAGTGAAAGTACATTGCAAATGGCGGGTTCTAAAGGGGTCTTGTCTTTACACATGCCATGCTTTCAATATCAACCTTTCAGAGACCATTCACGTCCAACTTGCCCTTCAATGATAAACATAATTTCTGCAATGATTGTTTTCACAAAAAGGACAGAATAAAGCAGGTGCATTTGTTTAAAATATGCACATTTTCTGATATAATTCTTCTCCAACAAAATCTTTTTGAAAATATTTGTTATCAAGTGATACTTTCTGTCTATTAATCAATGATATATTTATAAACTGTAAACATTTTGACTCTATACCAGACATAGTTTTATAACTATTGCAAAAATAATTTTTTAGACATGTTGACCTTTGACGAAACCTTAAATTGCTTTTGATGTCGTGTGTTAAAATACCTTCAAACAAATCAAATTAATATTCTTGATTCCCGCTTTTCATGTTATGACCGACTTAGTGCTTCGTGATACCAAAACAATACATTTTCACAATACTGTCTTACTACTATTACCTATAATTTTGACTTTAGGTTGAATTCGCCAATTTCACACTTGCAACGTTGTGTGCATCACGATATCGATCACCGTTCCGGCTACTTTCGTTATTTCTAACCAATGAAAATTGTCCTTATATACTAATTAGGAATACTGTTGCGTCATATTACTCATAATGCAATATTATTGCACGCATCACTAAATTGTAGAACACACATCACAAGATTTCGAATATACATCACAAAATTATCGAACATACATCACAAGATTATAGAATATTGTAGTAAAAATTATGGCATTTTACTATGGTAAATATCGCCTACCTTAGCATAAGGTGACGACGGAACACCCAGGTTTACATATGGGAAAACACAGGTACATGCAACAATATAACAAACAGGTAACACAGATGAAGGGTTTGACTGGTAATTCTCGACTGAGGTAGGAAACGTGCCGGCACGGGTGGATGGCTATGAGGTCAGGGTGAAAGGTCATAGTGGACTTATTTACATATGCAATTTCACTACATTCCTCCCCGTTTTATTTAATAAAGATAGGGGCAATTACTGTAATTAAATCAGAGAAATGTAAACCAGTAATATATAATAATTATTTAATATGAGAAGGAAAATGTATGAAATAATTCATGTACATGTTTAACAATTTATAGCCAAAAGAATATCTATTTATCTATGACCTAACACTGACCTACTTTCTTGAGAGTCCTGTAATTGAATGGTGTCATATGGCATATGCATGGTTTTAGTCGAGTGATATTCAGTTGTACCATTATATAATTTAATCATGTATACAACTGATTTGCCAAATTATAAATTGTGCCGGAGTGCAGCCTATATTAGAACTTTACAACAGATAAATTAACTAAACTGTTGCGATGTATTCTAATAATTCACTTAATATATATTACGATTAACTTCTTATGTATGCCTTAAATATGACATTGCTTAATACTATATAACTTATACTAACTCAAACCTAACCTAAACTAAGTATATTTTCTTATTACCTATCCTAAGAACTAAACTAACTGAAGAATATTTGCTGACTATTGATAGAAGAACCTATGAAATAATACTACTGAAAACATATTTACAAGACACATTCCGCATCAGTACCGTCACTGTCTAAAATTAGTAAGCCAGGTATGATATGGAAAATGTATGACATATAACTATATACAAAGCAATCCAGCTGCAATACCGTCACTGAGAATGGTCAGCCAGGTATCTCACGGAAAGCATTAAGTAATTTACATGGAGCAATCCAGCCAAATACCGTCACTGAGAATAGTCAGCCGGGTATCTAATGGAAAGCAATTTGCCTATATAATTATATGAGGCGATCCGACATGATATACCGACACTGATATCAGCCAGGTATATCCAACGGAAAGCATAAATTGCATGATCGCACCAGTCCTGATTGAAGTATTTCTGAATATCCTTAGGAACGGTCAAGGGCATCCAATAGAATAGATCATTGCATAATTTTCACTTTATATACTGCCTGAATATGCTTTACCCAGATTTGACCTAATTATATACTAATTAAATTAGCCTAAGTATGACTTCGTATAAAGAACTATGTATCTATAGAACAGTACTTGTAATCAACATTTTATCTGCTTTGCTAGCTTAAGCAATAATTACACCAAAATATTCACCATATGCTCACTTATTTTTCCAAAATAGTAATGACTATTCTAATACTGCTAAATTCGTCTAACTTCTTACTAAATCTCAAGTGCTATAGATATAAAGTATACTAAATGCTTACTCATGTAAGTGAGCTTTTAGTATTTTAATCATGACAGTTAATACTGCGCATATCTACACCACATGTGCATTGAGATTAACAAAAGCTTGGGCAGAGTACATGGATCTTAAGTTATATAATCAATAATATATTGTTTAGATATTACGGGTATGTACTTATAATGTGAGCTACAGTCAAGCAATACTCAAATACTGACTCGGGTGCAAATAAGATTTAAGATTGCTACATCTGGTGGTTAATAACTTAACAACTACATTGCTATAATTAAGACCTACAAACTACAATCTACACATTTCCCCTCCCTTTTATTTTTAAAAGCGAGAAGTAGTAATAATAGCCAGCTGTTCTTAATTATAAGTAGTAATATTGCAACTTATCAGATGTAGTTTGTGCATATTTTAGCTACATGTATACTGATATACTAGCCAGTTTCCTATTATAAACAAATCACTAAAATACTAAATGTTATGTGTAGACAAGGCTTAAGCTTATTAGTATCACTAAACACTAATGACTAGTAGATAGTGCTGCAAGTTATAATTAGCAATAATATTGGTAATTTTAGCAAGCTTATTATAATTATCGACTTACTAAGTTACTAAATATCTAAACTGATTATAAGAACTAAGTACCTTAAGTAAGTTAATCAACTACCAACTATGACGTACCAGTTAAGAGTTGACTACCAGTTCAAGTGTAAATGTTAGTTACTTAAAAGTATACACGCTATAACTTGCGCCAGTTAAAATACGATTGGAAATACGTACTGTTCACGCACTTCCTTCATCAATATTCATGAAAATACTGAATTCTTAATTCTTAGATATTGTTTAAATGTTTTGTTATTACAACGACATCTATAGTACAATTTTGTGGAAAGTATTTTTTTTCATCACACTTCATGTGTTTTAAATCATTAATCATTTTGTTTCACACAAAATTCGGCGTTCATATAGTGTATATGACTTTAAATTATAAATAAATTAAATCTGAATAAGGTCAGATTGCAGTAAAACTAATATTTCTAACACTACAGTCTACTGATTAATAAGTACATGTACTAGAATACTAAAAATATTTATATTACTACACTACTTGAATAAATAAAACCAACACTAAGTAATAAACCTAAGTCAAAAAACTCAATAAGAAAACACTGGGTAAAAGCATTTCAGGGATTTTATAGCAAATGATCTTTGTCAATGTGATGGGCCATGGTACAACCCAACATTTATTCTCTAGTGACAGCCCAGATGGAATGCCCGGCCCAAGGTCTACAAAGTAGATTACACAAACAAGGTACTCTCTGTATTTGGGAGGAAGGTCCTTTTCGGCAGCACTCAAGTAGACCTGGTTGGGCCATCTGTGGTGTCACTTCTAGTGGTGTCAAGACACACAGCTATTTCTGGTACAGAGGGTATGGAATCAGCATTCAGCGCTTCACCAATCTCCTTCTCATGAATAGGTAGATCTAATAGTGAAGAGGCTGCTGTTTCCTCTTGTTCTGTAGCCAGCTCTTGGTAGGAGGGCTCCTGTAAATTGCTGGATGCCTGAGCATTTACAACTGACTTGTTGCTATGCTCAGGCGAAGGATCACTCCTAGACGGCTGTGTATCTAAAGTCAAATCCAGGGTTTGTTGGCAGTCCGAGATGAAATCAGCATCTGGAGTTATTTGGCAACCAGCAGTTGATTGCTCACTACTCGGTAGCCATACATGTAACTCAGATGAACTGCCTTCAGGAACATCCTTGTCCTCTATGTCTGGTGTTGTTGAAATCCCAGGAACATGGAGACCATTCTGTAACACCATGGTGTTCTACTGCATACCTGCAGGTGATACATCACTACTCGGTATTTGTGAAAACCCTGTAACTGTTGGGATCTGCTGCTGCTGATGTACTGCTGCAGTAAGTGTTGGCATCTGCTGCTGAAAGTTTACTGCTGCAGGCAGGACAGATTCACAGCTGCTGGCATCTGAAAGTTTCAATGATGCTGAACCATCTGATAGTTCCTGGCCATGGTTGTTGGGAATTTCAATTCGAGACATAGTGGGACATTGCACAGGAGACACACTAGTAGTTGAATATTGCACAGCTCCTCCATCTTGTAACTGGGTCAATGGTGGCATTGGTGGCCCTCCATACATGCATGGTTGGGGGTATGCCTGCTGTGGTACCATGTATTCAGGTGGAAACATTCTGGGATATGGACCATATGCAAATGGAATGCTTGGACATGGCTGTGGTGGTCCAAAGAATGGTTGTGGGAATGGTCCACCATTACCCTGTGGAAATGGCACAAGGTAGTTCCCAGGGACTGGTGTACAGGGATAAGGATACCTACACCCGCCTGGGTTGAGAGATGGCATGTATGGTCCACCATAGTATCCAGGAGGTGCTGCACAAGGTGTCATAGCTGGATTCATGTTGTATTTATTTTCAGTAGTTCAAAGTTACGGAAATAAATCACGCCGTTTGACACTACTGAAATATTCAGTCATCGAATGTACATATGTTGAGCTATTTCTACGTTACGGTAAAAGAAAACGCCGGTGAAAATATCACAACACATTAAATCAATGATTTACAACAAGATATATGTTCTCACTGTGATCTGAATTAAACGTTACTTTAACACAATATAACAATTGTATTTTAAGCCGGTTTAATAGATCTTTCTATCTTCTATTCTCTCTATCTTTTTATCTAATAACTGTTTTACGATGTTGTCTTTATTTCTGGTTGATTGATGAATTAAAAGTTACTTTAACACAATAAATAATTGTATCTTCAACAGTAAAGTTTCTGATGTTTTAGTTTGACGTTTCTCTCTTCTTTCTATCTGCTTTTCTTTCTATCCTCTCTTATCTTTGATAATTGATTTACGCTGTTTCTGTATTCTTCACTCGATAAATACTTGTATTGGTCAAATGTTTCTAAACTACTACTAAATCTTAACTATTGAGTTAAATCGTTAATAAACTACTTGCTTTAATTACCGCTTGACTCTTACAACGTTAAATAAATGTATTCTAACGCCCGATGACAGTTGACGGTAGTAAAAAGCATTGATGTTACGAAAAGTTGTAGAAAAGCTTATCAACTAATTGTATAATCAACTGATGATGTTATATGAATTAACTATATCAAATAGATTCACTTTTATTCCACAGAGCTGAGATGTAAAACCGTTACACTACAAAATCAGTCTAGTCTACTGTTAGAGCGAGAAGCACATGCGCTATATTTAGCTTTTACAGGTAAACCAATTTGCGCGAACTAGCTCTGTGAAACTACAATCTAAGTAATGGATATATGCCGAATACTGTTCTATATGTAAAATTATCAGACTGTTTGAGGCCCGTTAGGGCCGAAAACTGTCTGATAATTTTACATATAGAATAGTATGAGGCATATATCTTACTTAAAACATTGCCATTTAAATGTCCAAAAGTTACCTGGAGGAGTCCGATAATAACACAATGGGAGTTCAAGCATCCATTGTTTTCTACCCGTCTGATAAGTAGATAAAAGAAATGAGTGAACGGTAAAAAAGTGAGTGAACTCTTGTTTCATTAATTTCATTCATTCAATGGCAGTCGTTTCGTTTAGCAGGACAGGGGTACGGTGGTGAAAGATTGGGGTGGGGAAATTTTTATTTATGATGTGCATAAATTGACATTGATACTGACATAAGTTTGGGTAATATTTTATCCATCACCATGGCAAGTAAAATGCGGATTTTTATCCTAGCTGAATTTTTAGCTAAGATAATGGAAATTTTCAGGTTTTGAAAGTGTGTCCATCGGGGAACAAACATAAAAAGAGACTGCAGAATCTTTTTTTTTCAGAAATGGATTTAAATTCGCTTATTCAAAGTGCTGAATCAAAAAAGTCTTTTAAAGAGTGAAAATTAATGTCGTGGAAGGTTTAAACTTAGAATTTTTCTCATGGATTTGCTACTTTGTGCTGTGATCAACTTAATTTCCTTGCATTTGGTTTCCCTGAATTTTTTTCATAACATTTTTAGTGGGGGTTTCTGGACATATTTAATCTTAATTTCACTCCTCTTTTAGTTTTTTAAATACCGTCCGATTTTGTTATCATTGCCGTCCGATAATATATTATCAGACTGGCAATTATTATTATCGGACGGCTACAGGTAAATTTTTAGACTGCAAGAACAAAGGCTTGACGTCACAGCAATGTTTTAATTAAAATTAGATCCTTTACGCTCCTTTATTTTGTTATGTCGCTTACAGCGACATAACAAAATAAAGGAGCGTAAAGGATCTAATTTTAATTAGATTGTGTGAAACTACACAACAAAAATATACAATATCAAAAACACAACATATCTCTACTTTTCCCCAAAATATTTATAGGGAACTGAGAGAAAAAAGAAATATATGATTACTCTAAATCCTAATTAAATGACGAGTCGAGAAGAAAACGCTCCTCGAAATTGTCAACACGAGTGACAATAATTTTTCAACAATAAAAAAAAAATACTATTTGTCTCGTGCAAAAATATGAAATAGATTAACAATTTTGAATAAAGTTCAATCGTTGTGGCACAAGTGACCAAAATTTAATGAGTCGAGAGGAAAAAAAAACGTAATTCGCACAAGACAATGTTAATGTTGAAAAATTTCGTACCAACGTTTTTAAAAAACGCCCTTACGATAATAGTACACTAAATAGTAATAAAAAATGAAAACACAAAATAAATTGACTGTGATATCACCACGTGTTCAAATGCGACTTACAAGTGAAGAAAAAAATAACGTGGCAAATTAGTCAAATTGTTTGAACTTTGCGAGTAACGTTAATTATTACGCCTGTAAGCAACAGTTTCCTAAAATTCCAAAATGACTATTTGTAAAAGATTTCACCTGTGTTTCTATTCACGGGTGGAAACTCACACGTGAATTGTTGCAAATAAAATACATGTAAATTATGGAACGCCGTCATTGCCTTATAGCAGAACACAACAATTGCACTGCGTCAACCTTCAGTTACATTATGTCAACTCCATATGACAGTTACTCACACAACTATTACATTGTGTTAACCTTCTATTACATTATGTCAACTCTACATGATATTAACTCATACTACTATAGCATTGTGTGAACTTTCCTTTACATTATGTCAACTCTTTATGACATTTACTCCCACTATTATTTTATTGTGTCAACCTTCCATTACATTATGTCAACTCTTTATGACATTTACTCACACTACTATTGCGTTGTGTCAACCTTCCTTTATATTATGACAACTCTTTATGACATTAACCCACACTACTACTGCATTGTGTCAACCTTCCATTATATTGTGTCGATTCTTTATGATATTATCCCACACTACTATTGCATCGTGTAAAACCTTCCTTTACATTATGTCAACACTTTAAGACATTTACACATTCTTGCATTTCGTTATGTTTACTGTTCATGACATTTAATTAAACAACAATTACATTGTGTTAACCTATCATTACATTATGTCAATTCTTTATGATATTAACTCACACTACTACATTATGTCGATTCACTATTACGTTATGCGAACACGGGTATCCTCGGCCTTTATATGAGCATACCGTATTTTCCGCAATCGGCAATCCTCGGCTGACTCCGCTACGCTCCATTCAAACGTTATGTGCGAGGTACGAGTCATCCGAGGAATTCCGATTGTATTTTCCGCGTTCCGAGAGCACTAAAATTGGCGGGAGAGAAAATTGCCGTAGAAGAAATCTCAGCGATTTGGGAATGGCATCTTTAAATAAAAATTTTAAGCGACAAAGGATTGACAATCTTGAAACGTGCAAAGCCTTAACACTGCGACTGTGAATTAAAGTCACGTCGAAATTCAATGGCGTTTACTTTAATCTGATAATTAAATAAATCAAATATTATGAGTCGTGCAGCAATTTTTTTTTCTTTTTATTTTGAATTGTTGCTTGTTTGTTTGTTTGGTTTTTTTTTTTTTTTGGATAAAAGTCTTAAACTTCTGATCTTACTAAGAACATTGTCATAATTTTTTTTTTATCAGTCTTGAACTTTCCTTTTTTTTTAAAGTGTAAATACATCGTATAACACACGTGCACTGGTGGGTTGGGGGGGAGGGGGAAATCCCGCCCTACCATCTTTAGTGACCAAAATCTACATGTACAAAAAATTAATAAATTTATTGGTTTTACTTTGTAGGACATTGCATTAGTTTCACATTAAGTTTAGCTGAATTAAGTTGAAAACTTTTTTTATAAAACTATAAAGCCTGAGAGCTTCTCTGCTTTCCCCCTTGGTCTCCAACCATAAACCGTCCCCTTCAGGCTTAATTGGACAATTTTTTTTGTTCAAGATTCTCATATCCGCTACTGATATGTGTTCATGCATGCTTACTAAGGCATATTCAATTGATTTAGATGAGGGATTGGTAGATTTTTTGTAATAGAATTCTGGCCCTGGAATAGTTGAAAAAATTACTAATTCCAGTGCGTGACGTATCATCTTTTTCGAAAGGAGGAGGAGGGGGGGGGGGTAGCCAGAAAAAAAATATTCGCCCGAAAAAAAAACTTGAGAAGCCAAAAAAAAAATTGTCTACTCCAAGCCCGAAAATCCTATTTCGGGGAGGGGGGTCCAACTTCGATCAGTCCTAATTTTTTTGTCAGATATACTACATTACCCTCAGTGGACTATACTTCAACAAAAAGTGGGGGTGGGGGCTGTACTTTCAATGAACATTACATTTTCTATTGTAAAGTTATGTTTGGGAAAAGAGGGGGGGTTGATATTTTGTGCCTCTAATTCTTCCGTATCAATCAGGACCCCCCCCCCCCCCTCTTACCAGTCATAAAAACACGGTCGTCAACATTCATTTTATACCAGATATACAGCTTTGAGATAATGTAAATGTATTTTTACATCAGGTAATGCACTTTTGGAATCAACATGATAAAGAGTTAACACAATATAAAGATATTTTAAGATCACATAAGAAAGAGTTGACATAACGTAATTATATATCCACATCACGGAATTGAGTTTTGACATAATGTGATAAAGTGTTGATATAATATAAAGATATGTTCACATAATGTCATACACTTTTTACACCACGTAATAAAGCACTGACATAAAGGTAAGATGTGTTCACCTCACATCATGATGCTCTCGCCGTAAAATAAAGATAAACCCATATCATGTAATAATGCTTTGATATAATAAAAATATACACTCTCGAAAAGGAATGGATTTTTGACTTCATGTAATGATAAGTTTAATTATAAAACACAATTCACTTGACGTAATGCAATTTTGACCTCTCATATTAAAGAAATGAAATGATGTAAAGAAACATTCATTTCACGTAATAAAGTTTTAACACAATGTAAACACATTATCGCTTCACATATTGA